ATATTTCGAGCAAATATTTTAAACGATTGAAAGCATGGATGATATTCGTTTTGAAGTCGGATAAAATTAAGGGGCATCAATTTTACGCGATAAAATTGTCCGTTGCGAGTTTAGTCGAATTTATCCATGTCAGGGATGGAAATACTCTTGGTTGAAAACTTCTTTCATGAACCAATCGATCTCCATCGCTCTGTCAAAACGACAGAGACGAGAATTGACCAAGTTGAATTAATTGTTTCTGAACGATCCTTGAAGGAGACTACATCCTTGCCTGTCTAATTATCACCGTCGAGAAGATTAATTGTCCGCCACGGGTTCAGGGATGATCTTCTTCCTTCCATTTATCAGAACTTCTGTGACATTTTAAATATGTAAAGAGATTTATTGTTTTTCCAAGATAAGAGACAAGATGTGCGATCATCATGTTCGAGTCGATTTTTCGTTCGAGTTTGAAGAAGGAAAATTAAGATTAGTATAATCTTAATTTAATAAAAATTAGTATAATATTAAGTATAATCAATATTTAAGAAAAAAATTATTTTATAAAAATGATTTCATAAAATATTTTTTGTTAAGAGGAAAAAAATATTATTTTTCAATATCTTATTTCACGTTATTTTCCACTGTTTCATCATAATTATAAATTTAAATTTTAAAATAAAAATATCTCTTCCTTCTGTAATATTTGCATAAAAGTACAGGAGGGGATTTGTTTCAAAAAATATTCAAAATTATTCCAATTAGAGAGAAAGGAAAAAATAGAAACAGTACTCTTAGATAATGGTGCAAGTTCATGAGATTTTTCGTTTTGATAAAAGCTGTTTCTAACGATCGCACTAGCTATCAGAGTTTATTCTTTGTCCTCCAACTGTTGTTTCTCTCCTATATCCCACTGGTTGTCGTTCAAAGTCGCATTAAGAAGTTTCCCAGCGTGGGAAATGTGTGTTGGATCCTGGCGTTCGAATTTCGATGAATCCTGATAGAAATTCATACGTTTTCCTGTTTATTATATGCCAAGCAAATTTTGTAATCTATATTATTCAGCCTCAAGTTTATACTGTGTCTCGTAATCACTCCGATTTTCTATTAAATGGATTATGTCCGTCAATTTCATTTTGAAAATTATTTAAAGATTCCTGAAAACTCATTAATTATCGTGTCAAAACGACGAAGAATTGATGGACGAACGTCTTAAAAATTGCACAATTAATCTTGATAAGGACATTTCGCATTTAATATAAATCGAAAAGAAGTTGTTTTCAAAAAAACAAACATTATTCAATCTAACTTTATATCGAGAATAAGATAAATTTTGTCGATATAATATTAAAATTTAACGAAATTACGTGGAGAAGAGAATATGTCTGATCATCGTCGTCTTATATTACTCTCTTCATGTGAACATCCCCTCAATTCTTGAGGGAGACATCGAAGGAACCGTGTTCGCTGGAAAACTCCCAATCCCATGCTTTCTGATTGACGTATGCAGCGAGATGTTTTCTTGAAGAACTTTTATTGAAATTGAGTATATTGAGCCCGAGGATAGATAGAAATCGCTATTTCCTCTTTGAAATTACTTTTTCGCTAATCGAGAGTTGGAAGACATTATTTTGATGTACATGAAATTTTTTATAAATATAAAATCGAAAAATGCAGAATTAGATTCTTTTAAGGGGTTTCTTTTTAGAATCAGAGACGTCTAAATATTAGTTTAATTAAAAGAAATTAGATATTAGTTTTTTAGAGACAACCGATTGCTATTCCAAATGAAAATAGAGAACAAGGATAGAAGAAAATTTTGCACTATTATTAACACTTCTATTATATCATTATATTCTCTTTGGAATTTTGTAAAAAGATGAGATGCTTTTTAAATATGAACGATGCTCGATAAAAGTTGTGAAAGTGACACAAAAAGTATAGGAAAAAGATTTAAATTAAAACAATTTAGAATTTATGATAGATATTAAAAAATAAAATATTATAATATATAATATAATAATATTATATTAATATATTTAAAAATATTTTTTAAAAAATTTATGATTCCTTTTACATAGGAATAATTGGTTTAAAAGAAAAGGTATCGCAGTTTACAATTGCATCGATGCATATTAAACAAAGTGCAAAATTTTCCATTGTCACTTTTTTTTCAATTCTACATTTAATTCTTAATCATTGTTGTCACAAAAATTTGTTTTTGTATCAAATATAAAAAAAAATAAAAATTTAGAGATATTTTATCGAGCTTGTCAAGAGATTTTAAAACAAATTTACACAGTTAACGAAATAACATTTAACGTTCTAAACGTTCGTTAAATTTTCAATCGATGAACTTGACAATATTTCCCTATTGAATCTGCTTTTAGAACGAATATACTTTTAAACGCACTATAGAAACATTCGAGACGTATCCATCGAACGAACTCGATTGCACGCAGAATATGAATATTTCGCGACGGAATTGCAAAGTGTGTTTCTTTTCCTGTATTGTGCTATCCCCTATCGAATAGGCTACTATATTGGTCGAGTTGCGATATATCGAGATGATACATCGAGTTTCTGCGTTTGTTTGCGATTCGAATGTGACCCACGTTCGATTCGACGATTTCGCTTATAATATTTCACTCCAGTATCCTGGAATTAAAAAAAAAAAAAAAACAACAAATATAAAATAAAAATAAAAATGAAAAATATGAATGTGAAAAAAATATGGAGGAAACGAGCCGCGTAATTCCTATGTGCGAATCGCAAAAACAGATTATCTTTTGAACATTTGATAAATATGAATATAATAACGAATATAATAATCGTTTGGTTAGTTTTACGTTAAAATTTGGTCGTTGTCGGTGATTGGTTTTTATGGATCGTTTAATTTGCAGGGAACGGTGACATGTAAATCGAGTGTCGCATTTATATTTTCAAAATGGAATAAAATATAAATTATTCGAGATGTTTTATATTTTACGTATTTTAATGTAAAATCTATTTTCATGATATCGATAGAAGATTGTCATTCGAATAATTTTTTACTTTTTTCCACCAAACTTGATTTATTATTGCATCTAATTTTTTATCAAATTATTAAATAATGATGATTTTATTAGTGGAGATTGTAATATCATTTTTCAATTCGTCAATCGTATAAATTATCGATCATATTCCATGAATGGTATTATTAAGTAAACTTTATATCGAAATCTGAAATATCTCAAATAGTTTGCGTTTCATTGCTATTTAAATACATGACGCTAAATTTTGGTATCATGAATATTTTAAGCAAAATGTATTACTCTGCTCCGAGTAAAAGCTCGGACTCTTAATGACGTAGCTGAGAAATCTTTTGAAGTTTTTACTCGCGAAGAGACAGTGCAATGCCGCCCTAGAGACAATTTAATTGATAAAATTGCTCTTTCACTGGATTATAAAAGGCGTTATATTAAGGAAAGCTTTGTTTTATTAAGGAAATTCGTCAAGATTGCTGTATGAGAGATGGCCGGGTACTTTTTAATTAACTGTAGGCAAGTTCTCGCTTTTTACTCTGTTTTGCTACGCTGCTTTCCAACCAGTGTGAATAATTAACGAGATCTTTCGACCACCACCGCACGTGGTGAAAAAATAATTTTCACTTATTATCAAGTACAGCACTCTTTCACAATTTTTTCTCTTCAAATGATCAAAAATCGTAGGATTTTCAAAAATTTTAAATATTTAAAACACCCTACTCTTTCCCATTTAACATCTCCTTTTCATTTTCCATCCTTTGCAATTTACTTGACAAAAATTATCGTCAATACTTTCATCATTTCAATATGCGTTCGCACGTTTTATCTAATATTTTGCATAAAGTATCCAGTGTAGTATCACCAGTGATTATTTGAGAACCGCTGAAACTATTCTTCCGCGATCTTTTCTCGAACGCGATCAAAGGAGAGAGAAGAAAAAGAAAAAAGAATTTTGAATCGACGTGAAACAGACGTAATCGTGGAAAGGAATCGGAATGCTTTTCGGGTCATAATTCGTTTATGGTCCACCGAAATCGTGTCGAGTCGCGCGTTCCGTCAAAGATGAGCGAAAGAAGGCGAGCAAAAGGAAAGCGAGAGCAATTCGAGTCAAAAAACTTTGATGGGCCCGAGCAATGGAGGCTCTCGTGTTCTGTTTCTAGTGGAATTAAAAAGCTCCGTAATTATTCTCGGCTCGGACGTTTTAAAACGCGAGGCCTCTCCCGTTTCATCTGGATCTGGGTTAAAAACTTCGAAAAGGGATGAAGGAAAATCGAGCGGGCGTGGCATCTTCGTGGCGGTCTCCTCGAGACAGCGAGAAGAATCGAGCAATGGCCTATTGTCCGTTTATCCACAGTTAGCCGGCCTGGGGGCGAGCCTGGACCCGCCAACAATTCGATTTCCACGCTCCTGGAAGAGGAAAATCTTCGATGGAGGTTTATTCTTCCACCGAGCTCTCCTTTCTTTTTCCACGGCCATGTAAAATGTATAAGCATTTTCAGCCCTTTGCCCATTGAATTTTTCATTGAACATGCTCTCTCTTCTCCTCTCTCTCTCTCTCTCTCTCTCTGAATATACCCTCTAGCCGCGAGTCTTCGACTGTCGATAGAAAGCGTCTCGTCTAGGCGCAAAGAAGAGAGAGAGAGAAAAAGGAGACAGAAAAGAAAGAGAGAGAAGAAAATAAAAGAATGGAAAGAAAAAATTTCTCGGCGATAATAAAGAAGCTTCTTATTCCTCGTACTATTCAAATTTCCCAACCACCCGATTTCGAACTGTGATTTCTTGATGGGGATGTAGGGGACAACTGGACCTGGAAGATGTTCGATAGAGAGAAATCTTTATCTTCATTGGGATGAATAAGTCTGGGATTACCGAACGCGTTAGATTCGTAAATGCCTCGAGAGATTCCATTCAATTCTCCCGTGAAAATCTTTCAGCTGTGAGCGATCTCGTTTGGAAACAGGAACATTGTCTCGCGCGAAGAAAGGATGATGGAAGAGGGAGATAGAGAGAGAGAGAGAGAGATAGAGAGAGATAGAGAGAGAGAGAGAGAGAGAGAGAGAGAGAGAGAGAGAGAAGAAGAAGAAGAAGAAGTAC